TGTATGGTCTGAAAGAGTGTCCTGAAAACAGTAATTTGTCACTGACTGAGGAATGGACCATAATGGAAAAGCTGCAAAAAGAGCACAAGACCTTTTCTTGAACCAGTTGCTCTGTGTCTGAGAGAAGCATGAAGGGTTTGTATCACTTGGGCAATGTGCTTGTAGCCTCTTCCTCCTAATTATCCCTGAGCTGATGATCTAAGACTGCTTTGTGGATATGAGGACAGAATTTTGCCTGTAGGATGCACGATTACCAACGGTGCCTCTTCTGTAAATCAGTTGTAAGTGTATTTGGAATAACTGCCAGGCCAGCTTCTGAGTTTGCCAGAGGACAGAGCTCCAGCAGACACAGTCCCACATGGCACAGAGCTGTTGCAGTTTTAAAATCAGTCTGATTTTTTTCTTTAACAGGGGATCCCAGTGTAACTCCGTCAAGCCTGGAGTGACACTCTGAATCTGCATCTGCCTCATGTGAGTTAAAATCCTGGCAGCAGCATTTTGCATAAGCTGGAGCCTCTGTAGAGAGCTTTATTTTTTTTCCTTTTTCTTTATTTTTTTTCCTTTTCAGGAAGGCTATAAAATTGTAATTGTATGTGTCTTGGCAGCAAAGGTAAACACAACCACACAAATGCATGAGAATTGCATACCTTACTGCACAACCCCTGCTCATTCCAGACCAGCTTCCCTGCTAGCACGTCCTGTGTCAGTCAGGGATGCCCGCACTCATCACAGACCTGAAGGCTTGCAGTGTTCACTCTGGGGTACTGCTTTTTACCTTTTAATGGTGTATTGTTAAGCTAAGTAATGGTATTAAGAGGAAGCTGGAATGCTGTCAGCTAGCTTCTGTTTTTTTAAAACCTTTAGTTGTTTTCTTTCCACCCTGGTTGCATAATCCATGAGCACTGGATGCTGATTGCCCTGTGCTGCTGAAGCGTCTGCCTGTGTTGGAACAGGACTATTAAAATAACAATTCCTCTGGGACTTGGCTTTGTGGCAGAGACATGGTCATCAAGCAGTAAGAAATATCAGAATCAGTTGTAGCACGTGCTTTGGTTTTACTGTCATCCCATGTGTGTTGGGCAAGGATGGTGTGAAACTGTGTTTGTGGCTCTGCCTCCTCCCCTGTCACAGAGCTGGGAATGATCAAAGACTGTGCCCTTCTCAGCTGGGTGAAAGAGCTGGGCACAGGAGACTGCATGGCAAACAGCTGAATTCATCATGGTGCCATGACACACAAACTATCTCCATCAGCGGTAACAGGATTCAGCAACCAGGTCTGAGGGAGGGGATATTCCAGCAAAGTTAAAAACCATAATCATGCATCAGAAAAAAGTATTGATCTGTCCTATCTACTCTGTTTCCTCATGGCTGCCTGAATACATGAGAGAGAACAACCAGCCCTGAGTACAATTTTGAAATAGACTAACACCTGTAATTGGGGCATCTTTCCCAAATATGCTGCCAGAGTTGCAGTGATGCCAGCCTGTCCATTCTTCATCTGAGGAGGTGGATGGTTTGTTTGCCCAGAGGAAGCTCCAGTGACTCAAATAGGCTTATGAGAAATGTCAGGGGGTTGTGGCTTGTTCCAGCTGATGCAGCCAGTGCTGTGGTGTAGGCTGCTGTGGTCTAGGGTGCTGTCAGGGTAGGCTCAGGGAGCTCTCAGTCTCTTCCCAGATGTGTGTCTAATTAAAGGAAATTTTATCTGGAACAGTAAGTATGCTGGTAACTACAGAAAATTTATTCTCCCTTTCACAAGTCCAGTTTCCTGTGTCTCTGTTTAGTTCATGTGTCAAGGAGAAGGCTCTCATTTCCCAGATATTGTGGAGTAGTAGAAAAATAGAGATGGGATCTGAGGCATGAATGAGCTAATAGTTTAGTTTTATCCAAAGAGATATCAAGGAAGCAAAATCTAGAGCTTGAGAGGTAAGGGGAATAACTGTCCCCACAAAAGAAATATTTAGATTAATCCTAATTGATGTACTGCCTCAGCAGAGACTTGGGATGATGAAGGCTGAGGTTGAGACCTTTTCTTCAGCCTTTTTCCTAATGGTGCTTCAGCTTGTTTTCTTAGAGAGTTAAAAGTCTGTGGTGATTCTCTAAGAAGGAGGGGCAAATACAGAAAGAAATAAATTGAGTGAGGGTGTTTTGTGAGCAGCTGACCTTGTGTCCCACACAGCTGTTCCCTGGTGGAGTGTTAGATACACAGATTGCTCATCAGAAAGCCCTACAATTTCCCTGGAAAAGCTCTGCTGGAGCTGTTGATGAACCACTTCTGCTTGTCCAAAGATGTCAGTGTGTTCCTGCCCAGGTTCCTGTCTGGGCAGCACCACCATGGTTGGTGACTTCAGAAAGACCAGGGTTTCCTTGGAGAAATGGTTTGTTTGAAGTGATGTGTTATGGGTTAAGTTGGTAGCATGCTCAGTTTCCCAGGGGGCTGAGAAGGAGGAGCAGCAGCTCCATGGACAGAGCGGGGCACTGGTGCCTGTTTCACCTAACGGGGAGCTTTACAGAGCTTTCACATTCTGACAATGTGTGCAGGTGCACTTACAAGAGTTTTCCCTGGGAAGTGCCTTTACTGTCCTGAATCAGAGGAATTCCTTGTTCCAGATGATGGTCTGGTGTCACTTTCACAATTTTGTTCATCACCTAACTGCCTATTGCTCCCTCCAACTCTAGCTCACTGCCCAGAATTACCTTGTTTGTCACTGCTTCCTTCATTAGCTGTACCTTTTGATTGCTTATTCCTATCTATAGCTCAATCAATCCTTCCTTTCCTAAAGAAAAGACTACGTGCATTGAATGTTGTATCATGTTGTTGATGTTTGCCATTGGTATGACATTGCTTGGAGATTTTGATAACTGCTTTATTGATTTTAGTTATCTATTTAAGACTATTACAGGTTTGCTTATTACATTTTCAATCCTGTTAGTTTAATGGGGAAAATTAACTCTTGGGATTCTGGTACTTTTGAGGTTATTAAGAGAAACAGGAGCCCTCTGTCATGGGTACTGTGCTTTCAGTCTTCTGACAGTCTTGTTTCATCTAAAGTCATTGCCTTTTAATTTTTTTTTTTTAGTATTTTATATATTTCTTTCTCCTCTCACATTAAACTTCTGTATCCCACAGTATATATATATATATATATATGCTGGTGAATACTGGGCAAAGTACAGACAATGTGTATTAATATAAATAATGAGGCCCACGGATGTGTTAGATGTCTCTCAGGAAAAGCAGTCTGTCCTCTAATGAGTTTACTGTGTAACTCGTACGTTTTCAGCTAAATTTGAAATACTCAAGTGTTGGAGGCAGTTGGACCCATTGAACTCATGGTAACCCTCATTGCAGTCAAGGGTTATATTTATTTCTCTTAGGATCAGTTTAAGACAGCAACATTATAGTATCCCACTCCTAAGGGGAAGGGAGCACCCAGGATTTGTAGGTGCTCGTGGTTGAAAGGAATGAGGAAAGCCAGGGGGTCCACAGAAGCTTACAAAGTTTTATTAGTAAATTACACTTGGCATGAGAATTGGTATGTTAATCCCTGACCTTCTAGTGTAAGCACACAGCAGTGGGGTTTGGATAAAGGGGTAGGGTAAAAGGGAAGAGAAAGAGATTAATTAAAGAGGGGAAGAGAGAGAGAAAGAAGAAAGTGGAAAAAGAGATCACCAGTCCTAGCAGCAGTACTCATGAGGTGCCCAGCATCCTGGGGCACACCTTGAAAACAGGGCTCTTGCTTTCTATGGAAATTAGTTACCATGTGTGCTCCATTCTTCCAGACCTGAATGAAAATGGATTGGAGGGTCTTGGATGGTCTTGATCTCCTCCATGCAGTCCGTACCCACTTCTCAACCTCATTCCTGCACTTGAGCTGTGCTCTGCTTATCTCTGGGAGCCAGAACAAGGACGTTTGCCCAGAAAAGTGCTGTCCTTACCTCCACATAGCCCCCTTCTCCAGCCACATCCTGTTCTTTCTCACGACATGTTATTACCAACAATCCCTGGCTGTTATTACCAGCAATCCTTGGTCAGCTTCAGGACTATCCAGCTGTCTCAGTGTTTGAAACATGCACATTGGCCCCTTATCTTCTGGGCTTCTGCAGACATGCAGTGAGAGTAAACATACTGCCAGAGAAACCCTGTGATTTCCATCTGTCCTGATTGCCTTTTAGATGTAATTTAATGATCTGATTAAACAGTAACATTTTCAGCACGTGGGAAGGTCATTTGCAGGAAGAAGAGAGAGAGCCTGCATGGTAGGAATGACTTAGTTGAACAAGTCTGTATCTTTTTTGTGGAGTGAAGGGAAGGTGTGTGTCCCAGATGAGCAGCTCCTCTGACATGTGAGAGCAGTGAGCTTGCTTTAAAAAGTAGCATTTTGATGCACAAGGGTAATAACACATAGATTTTTTGCAGTTCCATATGGTGTTATTAACAAACAAATCATATGTTAACTTGACAGCTCTACCTTCACACTTAGTCTGCAGCAAACATTAATTCCCCTGAGATGAAATCTGGAGCAATACTGAACTTTGGGACTGTGTCCAGAGCAGTAACAGTAGCACTGAAGTGATGAATTTCAGGCTTTCTAACTTCCAGTACATGTCCCCCCACAATTTATTGGTTTCTTTATCAGCTTTGCAAAAACATAGCAAACCAAAACCGTGTTGGAGCAGATGCAACAGGGAGTGTTCATGCATCTGCCTAACAGGACTGCAGGGAGAGGAGCTGCTGTTTGAAATACATTTTTCCTGATGCAGAGAGCTGTGATAAACTGATGGATATTTCATCTGGTGCACTCTGCTGCTGAAATTGAAACTGCAGCTCTGCTTCACTGCAGCCCTGGGACAGGAGCTAATTCCATCATGCTCTGGGCTGGGGGACAAAGGAGGGAATGGTGTGTGGAGGAGGGAGAATGGGTACATTACTTTTAATTGCCTTCTTGTTTAACCCCCTAGCTGTTTTCAAATTTTCTAACTGAAATCTCATCTTGGTACAGTGTATAAATCCCCTGAATACGAATCTCTTGGATTTGACCTGACCGTAGAAAGATTAGTTTCCATTGGATACCCTCATGAGCTGCTCAATTTTGTGTATGATCCTGCATTCCCTACCAGGTAAATGACCAACGGGTACCGACCCCACCCGCTCGAGGCCCAATTTCTTGTTCTGTGAAGTTCACAGGTGACATGTGAGGCCACCTTTTCAGCTGGGGATGTGAAGCCTATGGCTGGCCACAGATCATGGGGAAGGGAGAAGACTAATCCAGTATGTGGGGGGGGCCTTTGCACACATGAGCCCTTGCCAGCAAAGAGGGAGTGTGCAAGAAAAAAAACCCTACTGAAAACATGGTCCAAAAATAGCCTTTCAAAGCAAAGACAGCAGAGGCACAATTGGATTGGGAGTGAAATCAGAATCAGGGGGAGGATGAGCCATTGCTGTCCAAGAGGCTGCTGGGATGTGTCAGAACATTTTTCTTTAATGATTTTAATTAGTAGTGTTGTGGTGCATAAGACATCCTGAAAATTAAGGTGACAGTAAACAAGAATAGAAGTGGGACCAATCAAGTTTTCTTGTCAAGATGAATCAAATGTCAAAAACACTTGATTTAGTAACTTTTTGATTTTATAATTTTACACTAAGTTAATAGTGCAGAATTACTAAATACCTATATTTTGTCTTCTGGTGGAAGAGGTAAACAAGACATTGTTTTGAACAAATCTTTTGATCTAACTCTGCACCTTCAAGTTCTTACCAATTGTGCCTTTGCTGGATTTTGCTTCTTTGACTCCTTTGGAGTTTCTTTACAAAAGACTGGACCAGAGGGTTTGTTGGTTTGTTCCAGTTTCAGTCTGGCAGCCTCCTTGCTTTCCTCCTCTCAGTGTGTTTTACACTGAGAATTGCTGCTGGCTGTGTCCTTGCCTGTAACAAGGCATAGCCCCTCACAAACTGTGATGAGAGCTGTGTTAAATCCTCCATCCCAGGGAGGGGGCAGAAGGGATATCTCCGTGGGAAGGCTGTGTTTGCCAGATGCAAGCTGCTGGATAGATGAGACAGGGTTTTGCCAGAGTCAGAACTGGGCATGTCCAAAGTATTGTGCCATGGTTACATGCCCCATCTGGCTTTGTCTGTGACAGAGCCATGAAAAAGAGAGAAATTCCTGTATCACAGCTCACTGTTCCCTGCAGCCCGACAGGGGTGTCAGGTGTGGCAGAGGCCCTCAGCTGCCCTGGTAGATGCACAGCTGAGCCTTTGGAGGCCCTGGGGAGCAGGTCGGGTGTTTCTCCTGCCTGGTGATGCTGGGCTCTGGTTGCTCACCTGCTGCCAGCTAAAAGGGACAGTAGGGACCCCATCTGCATCATAACAGCAGCTCTGTTCTGATGCCCCATGCCAAGTCAGCAAAGCTGTTCTAGAGCTGTTCTGAGTGCTGCTAAAATGGTCACCCCTTAATGCACTTTCCTTTTCATATCCTAAATTGCTTTCTTAACAGAGGCCTGGTGTTTGACACCCACTATGGAAACCTGCTGAAAGTGGATGCCTATGGAAACCTCCTAGTATGTGCACATGGCTTTAATTTCCTCAGAGGGTGAGTGCAGACTCTTGGCTGTTCTTTTTATCTTAATACAGTCTATTGTGTCTCAGTGATCCTCAGGGCACCCATTGTATATGGAGTCACAGGGACTCTACTAACAGCAGAGGCTGTGTTGGTGTTCCTACAGCTCCCTTAGCTGTGGATGAACTGTCTCAGGTACAGCAACAGCCCAGATGTTTACAAGGAGAAGGGCTGTGCCACCTCAGGCACATCCGTAGCAAGCTGGGAGTAGAGGAACATGTGCTGTGGGAAAGAGTTGATGGGATCATCCAGGGGTTGTTCACCTGTCCTGGCAGAGTTTAACATCAGCAGCTTGTCAGTCAAGACAAAGTCATTGCATGAAGACCTGTGCCCCATGAGACTGTCAGCTCCACAGCCATTGTTAGAAAGTTTGAGGGTGTGAACTGGCTTGGGGTAGGAATAATCTTGCTCTGCCCTTCGTGTTTCTGACCTTTGAGGGTGTCAGAACTGAGACTGAGCCTACATTTCCTGCAGCCTTCCCTGGCTGCTTGTGTTTCTTGTCCCAGAGAAGGTGCTTTAGGAAGCAGAGAGGACTGCACTGCCATGTTCCTCATGTGTCCCAGCAAATCCCCACTCCCACGTTCCTGTTGCAAGGGCATATGAATTGAAGGCCAGGCAAGCTCAGGGGCCCCAGGGTGACAAACCTTGTCATTGCAGGCCTCTAAATTCTTGCATCAGGACTTCAAAATTTAGAAAAAAACCCACTTTTATGTGCATTCAAGTTCCTCTTTGAACCTAATATGATCTTCATTAGCTCCAGAAATTAAGGAGACCAGAATAATGATATGAGTTCAGTCATTGCCACCCTGCTGATGAATTGCAGAGGGCCCCACACAAGCCTCCTGCAGCAGAGCCCTGTATGCCTGGCTGAGAGCTGCTGGGAGAGTGGGCAGCAACACATGGAAAGTGGGGGAGAGTTTAAGATAAGCAAACAATGAAAGTGCAGATGATTTAAAGCATTCTCCTAGCCAGCAGCATGGGCTTAAGGTCGAGCTGTGGACTCGACCACTCTGTGTCCCTGGGTGGGCTCAGTTTGCTGATTCAGCAGTGAGGGTTTGGTCCTGGCTCTGCTGGAGTCAGCACAGCCCAGGGAACACCCCTGGATGCACTTTTCCTCTTCTGCCAACAGTGCATATGGGGAAGCTGAGAGTTGATTAAAGCACAGCAGACTTTGGTTAGTGGACCCTGCTACAACTCTGTTTTGCAGGTCAGCACACTTTATCTTCATTATGCTTTGTGGTTTCACTCTTCTCCACTTTATTTATTCTCAGGCCTGAAACACGGGAGCAGTATCCAAATAAATTTATCCAGAGGGATGACACAGATAGGTTTTACATTTTGAACACGTTATTCAATCTACCAGGTGAGTCTAATGTGAGCCAACACAGGCTTCTTTCTGTGCTTTTTAAGCCAATAAAGCTTTGCTGATGTACTCTACTTTTCTGTTTGGGTTTTTTTTTTGCCTTTTCTTCCTTTGGGCACAAAGTCTAAAGTTAGCAGGCTGTGTGATGTTATCCTTGTCTTATAATCCCACTCTGTTTCCTTGCAGAGACCTACCTGTTGGCTTGCCTGGTGGATTTCTTTACTAACTGTGACCGGTACACGAGGTTTGTATTCCCTCCACTCTGAGATGATGATGGAACAGTAAGATTGTTATTGTTTTATACAAGAGCAATACAGCACAGATAGAACTACTCAGCACAGATAGAGTGCTCAAAACCACTCAAGTGGTTCTGGTGGGCCTCCTATAATTTTGTGGTGCTGAGTTGATCTCTGTGTACAGTTTATGAAGGTTTCCTTCACAGGGTACAGCAGTACCAACATCCCAGGGAGGGATGAAGTTGGTATTTGGGGCAGCATCTAGGATTGCACACTTTTTACAGGGTGATTACAGGCACCATTCAGTTCATTTTGTACCTGCATCCATTGGAGCCATGTCTGAGCTGGTAACTGAAAGGCTGAATTTCCTCAGCCAGTTACCACAAGTGCTTCATGTCGTAATAAAGGACATTACACACTTAGAGGTGAAGTGCTCAGTGTGGTATAAAAGGCTGTGCAGCATGAGTATTTACCTTGCTGTCAAAAACATAAGCATAAAAACAAGCTGTGGTTTGAACTGGCAAATGTGAATGCTTCTGTGCTGCTCATCACCTGATGTGATGGATCATCTTTGCATATATGTGAGTAGAAGGCAAAAGTTTACAGTGGCTTCACCTGGGAGCAGAGGAGCTGTTTATGCTGGCAATCCATCAGGTGAAGTACCTTTTCTCAGGAGAGGCATGATGATTGCTGTCATAATAAATACAGCTCTCTGTAATCCTTCTTGATTTCTTCTAATGCAAGCTGTCATGCTGTCTCAAAGATACCTCCGGAGTATCTTGTAATTTCTAACGTTACTTCTAAGTGTTTAACATAGAAGCAATTCCTCCTCTCAGCAACATTACATTTAATTGATTTCCATGACTCTCCCTTCTTTAGTACTAGAAAGAGGGAGAAAGAGCACTACTTTGTTTATTCCATCAGTACCATTAATCTTCTGTTAAATGCTGCAAATGGCATTTTTGCAGTTTTCTGCAGTCTTTTTACCTTCTTGTAACATGGGTGAGAAGTGAGAGTTACAGTCACAGCAAGCTGTGGTACAGCTGTGGAGGCACAGACATTCCTGGTCCTGTTAAACTGCAGTTGTAGCCTTCTTTCAAGCCTGAGCTGCAGTAAAGCAGTAGATAAGAAACCATGGTGGTAAGATGAAAACAGAAGATCCAAACAGCATTTTGAACTGTCTCACTCCTTGCTGTGTTTCTTACCTGCTGTGACTGACTGCTAAAATCTCTCTTCTGTCTCCTCACAGCTGTGAAACAGGGTTTAAGGATGGAGACCTCTTCATGTCCTTCAGGAGTATGTTCCAGGATGTTAGAGATGCTGTTGACTGGGTTCATTACAAGGTGACTGCAAGAACTCCGTGGGATGTGTGTGGTTGTAACTGGGTTGGAGGGGCTGGTGTGGAACTCCTGAGTTCAGACGTTCTCTGCCTGCTCTGGGCAAGGGCCCTGCTTTGCCGCCTAGTGAGCAAATAATAGATTGCAATGGTATGGGAGTAAGTCCAGATCTCAGCTGCCCTCCTGGTATGGGAACATACCTGTCTTGGCTTCCTATTCCTTTTTATTGTGCCCAGATTTCATTTTTATGCTCTAATTCATGGGTTTTAGAGTGTGATGCCACGAGGGTATTTGCACTTCAAGTCCACAACTTGTACATTGTCCTAATAATTAAAACAGTATTCTACTGCAAATTGTTTACACTGGCACTATCCTACATTGTCTAAAAAGTATTAAAGAGAGATGGCATTAAAGAGAGAAATAGATCAGCTGTTCTCTAATTAGAGAGAAGCATTTCAACTTCTGCACACATTTGTGCACAAATTTAGAATATAATTTTGTGAACATTAACGTATGGTTAAAGACCTGATTTTCTTGTTCCCCCTCATTCAAGCAGTCTGTTGGGTGGGATGGAGAACCATCAGAGGATTACTCTGCTCACAGTTGTACTTGTGGTGGTCCTTTTACCCATGCAGAAGTCAGGAACCTATTTTTCTTTCCTTATGCAGTGTTGTGTGATACATGTTGGAGTTGGCCTTTGACTAAAGCATTATGGTCAGTGTTGGAGACAGGTCGTTAACTGTCTTGTTTGGTATGGCAAATCTATTTTTTGTTTGTTTCTATTGTATTCCCTTCTGAAAGGGTTAAAATGCTGTTGAAGTGGATTATTTACCATGGTGAGGGAATCGATGGATCACAGAGTTTGTGATGGTCCCTGCTACTCAAAGCCTCTCATCTCTAGAGTCACTGGTTCAGATTCGCCCTGGTTTGTACTTTCACAGCATTTTAAAGTGTGAAAGTTGGCATTACTTTGTTGTCTCTTACATCATAAGTTTCCATGACCTCACTGGGTTCTGTTGTTTCTATTTCAGGGATCGCTTAAGGAAAAGACCCTTGAGAATCTGGAGAAGTACGTGGTGAAAGATGTAAGTGTGAAGTTACTTTACTTGTGCTATGTGACATTCAGTAAGCAGGCAAGAAATAAACGTGCTGATTTGCTTTACTAAATCACAGAACAATATGGCTGTGATTTCTGTTGTAATAACCAAAGTGGAGAGTTCAGATGCAGCCTTTATTCTGAGCCAGTGATCCACATGATTTTGTATTGGTGTGCACAGTTTTATACATAAAATGTAAAAGCCAGAGGAAATGTGATCAAGGTGAACACACTGGCAGAACTCATGTTGTGTCTTTCAGTGGTGAAAGCAACTGTGTTCCCTGCCCATGTTTTTCTGCCCAAGCAAACCTCTCTTTAAAAAGCAACAGTTGAGCATCTTTTTAGCCACGTGACAAGAAAGTCACATTTAGCCATGAGGGACTGAGGGAAAGATCCTGAAAAGCTCACCAGTGTCTAGTCTCTTGAGAACCCCAAAATGTGTGTTCAGCACATCTAATTGAGCAAGCTCCAGTGGTTCCCTTACTCCTGCCATCTCTGCAGTGTGCAAGGCCTCTCAGGACCACTTACGGAGTAAGTATTTTTTAGTTTAGATCAGCTCTGTGGTAGATTATCACTTTAAAGCAGTTAACTTTGTTTCTAGTTACACGCCTACAGAATTCCTAGGTAAGTGTTCAGTGAGGTAATCAGCTATTTTGGCAATGGACTGAGATTTCAGATTCAATAAAAATAGCCCCAGGAATAAATTCTCCCTAATTTGAGGTTGGAATTATAATGCATTCCAACTTGTGGCTCGTGAGCTCAGATTTCACCTGCCTCTGGGCCCATTTCGGGAACGGACTTGGAGCTGGAGCAGATCGGTGGGAGCAGCACAGGGTGCCTGGCACTGTGGTTGGCAAAGGCACTGCAGCCCTGCTGAGCCCTTCCCCCTCGCCTTCCTCCCCTGGGCTGTGCTCTGGAGGGGTTACCTGGATGGACCAGCAGCTTTCCTGGCTCTGGCCAGTGCACAACACGTGAGTTTGCTTGCTCGATGGTTTGATTTGCCTTTTTTTTGTCTGTTGGGATCATAGTTGAGTGTTTTTCCCATGATGTACGTATGTAACTTTTGTGTGTGACTCGGATGTTCCCCTTGGCTTGCAGGGGAAGCTGCCACTGCTGCTCAGCCGCATGAATGAAGTGGGGAAGGTGTTTCTTGTCACCAACAGCGACTATAAATACACAGACGTAAGTGCTGCTTCAATTGTTGGGTTGGTATTTCATGGAATAAGCATAAGCCAGCCAGTCATTTGGGTGGGTTTTGATGGAACATCTTCTGGTGGAGAATCGCGTGTTTTCTAATCTACATGTAGGGTGGGTTAGTGGTGGCTGCAGATGAAGTCTTGAGTCATCACCTTTTGTCATCCTGGTTCTGGCACTGAGCTAGTACAGGCCTGGTTTAAGTCTCTCTGTGCTTCACTCAGTTCCTCAGTAACTAAAAGGCTGTAAGGGAAAGTGATGCTCAATTTTGGATTTTAGCATACTTTAAAATGCAGACATTCCCTTTCAAGTGAGATAGATAGTCTGAGTATAGACAGGTCACCAAACCAAGGTCCTGGAGAGGTATGAGACCCAGAAAGGGCTGTCTGCTAAGATGAGAAATAAACATGGTTACTTCCAACTCCAGGTGAATGTCAGGATGTTGCAACACTGCTAATCTAAAGATTTATATGCTATTTAAAGCATTGTAAGATATGCCTGAAGCAGTGTGCAGTTTTCTGAGGCAACTGTGTTACTGGATTATAAAAACTACTGGTTTGATTCCTATCATTGTCCTGTTCCATTCATTTTGTCTCCAGATCTTATGCTGACTTCTGTGTAAATTCTAAAAATAAACTTCTGTAATATTAAAAGATAAAAGCATAAAAGCACACTTTTATAAACTACACAAATGCATGTCTAAAAGCACATATTTTAATGCTTTCTCTCTTTTAGAAAATTATGACTTACTTGTTTGACTTCCCACATGGACCAAAGGTATGTGAATTCTAGACTGCAGTTGCAGTTGACACTGATGTGCCTAATTATCTGTGTAGCTGGAAAGCATTTTAATCCTGCTTCATCGGCTGCATGGGATTAGTTGCTTTAATCTGGTTAAAATACACTTGCTGTTTTGTGTCCTGTTTGAATGAGATCAAAGCAAATACAATATAACAAAGAGAAAAGGGGCATCAGCTGGTCTTAAATTATAATCTGTGTTAATGATAACATTATTTCAGTGATAAAATGTCTCAACTGTGACATTTTGCCACCAGATTTCTTAGAAATAATGCACAATGGTTTAGAGGTTGTTTAAAAAAGCCATGATGGCAAGGAAATAGTTTTATAAAAACCTTAATTATCATAACTCCAGAAGTTTTAGTCATGCTTTTTTTTTGTTTTGTTTTTCTGAGGTTAAGACTCAGCCCTGCAATTTTTGGAGAAAGATTTATGATACAAACTTATACTGCTGTTTCGGTCTCCCAGTGAGAGGTTATCTCATGTTGAAAAGATATGTTCTCACACTGCTTTAAAAGCAGAAGGCAGCCAAGAGGGAAATTTTGAGAGCATAGATACTCATCACAACTGATAGCTAAAGAAGCCCCTTGCTGTGGTCTTGATCTCACAAAGTGCGGAAACATGGAGCAGAAAGGGCTTGGTATCCTTTGGGCAGGGCTGTGTTTCAAATCTCTTGGAATAGAGTTCAGGCATTTCCCACTCTTGGCAAAAGCAGAAGCATGGCCTTGTAAGCTGCAGCTGTGGAGTTGCATGTGTCCAGATGTGTGTGGGATGTCACCTTCAGGAACAGTGGCAGGGTGTCATTTACTGCATCTTTTTATGTGGCAGCTGTGCCCTGACAGGGATGTTCAGTGCTGTCCTCAGCCTCCACTGCGAGGACTGGGATGGGATGGGCTTCTGGCTAAATGGGAATGCTTTAAGAGATGATGCTGGCAGCTCAGCACAGGAGGTATGAGCTAAGGGATTTTGATGGACCAGCAATGACCCAAAGTTTTGGCTATGGACAATGACACTCCAGTTAAACTCTGTGGGTTTTCTTGTGTTGTTCCTGATTCTGGGGTTTGTTTTTGCCTTTGTAGCCTGGGAGTGCCCATCGGCCATGGCAGTCCTACTTTGACCTAATCCTGGTGGATGCACGGAAACCCCTCTTCTTTGGGGAAGGCACTGTATTGCGGCAGGTGGACACGGTGAGTGGCCATGGAGGGTACCTCCATGGCTGGAAGGGCTCCTGCACCTCCTCTATGGCAATGCACTTCCTCAGTGACAATGGGCAATGCAGTGTTTAGAAAGGACCTACCCTAGAGGTTGTGGGCTGGAGTCTCCTCTAAGTGATTCCTGAGCAGCCCCATCACCTCGAGGCTTTGCTGGATTCCCTAACATACTGCAGGTGACAGTAGGAAAGCCACCTCTGTGCTGCTTGGGAGTGAGACAGATAGACAAAGAGTGACATATCAATGGTATCAATATAGAAAAGATCCAGACCATGAGCTGTTCAGCACTAACACAACACCTCCTTCCACAGGTGACCGGGAAGCTGAAGATTGGTACTTACACTGGCCCACTGCAGCACGGCATTGTGTACTCAGGAGGTGAGGCAGGAGCCCTTCTTGTTGTGTGGAGTGGCTCTGATGTGGCCTTCAGCCACTCCAGCTGTGAAAGGACTTCTGCCAGTCAAGGTTGTGCTTCCCAAAGTGCATTGTTTTGTGCCCTCTGCACACTGCACCAGAAGCTCTGCGTGATCAGAGCTGCACAAGTGCAGGGAAGGGATGGACCCCTTCCTTCTCAAATGTCCTTTTCTTCCTTGCCAGGGAGGGTCTGGGAAATGCCTACGGGGCTTTGGGTGGAGGGGTGGCTGCAGCTGGCCTAGTGCAGTTTCCCCAGCTGTACTTCAAGGTGCTGCCACCAGCGTGAAAACGCTTGGAAGGTTCCACCAAGCCAGGGAAGGGCAGTGGGTGGATACAGAGCTGTCTGTGACGCCCAGGGCTCCATTTCTCTCACATGGTGGAGCAGGCAGCATGGCCTCTGTTGCTGCCATTCATGTAGGGGTGTGCATAGGCAAAGCTGCTCCTGGGTGAATTCCCAAGCAGGTGAGCTGTGTCCAGGGCAGCCACGGTCAAGCAGCTGTTTTGGCTCACTGTTCTGAGCCATGCCATTCTTCTCTCAGGCTCTTCGGACACAGTCTGTGACCTGCTGGGGGCCAAAGGGAAGGATATCTTGTACATCGGAGACCATATCTTTGGAGACATCCTCAAATCCAAGAAACGCCAGGGCTGGCGGACCTTCCTGGTGATCCCCGAGCTGGCGCAGGAGCTGCACGTCTGGACAGACAAAAGCGGTCAGGAGCCGGGCAAGCCCCTGGCCAGGCTTTGCTCTTGCTTGTCTGATGCTGCACCCCTGAGATCGCCAGCGCTTAGGGGTGCAGGGGAGAGATCACCCTGGCTTGCCACTTCTCCTTTTGTCCCTTTTCACTGGGTCTGGATGCTGGTGGCAGCAGCTGGGGTGCCTCTCTGTGGGCTGGCCTTGGGGTCCCAGGCCTTTCCTGTGCTCTTTCCCAGGCTATTGTAATTAGCCAAGTGCTGCCTTGGCCATGGGAGAAGCTGCAGCTGGGTGGGGTTGAGTTGTTCCTCATCAATACTCCAGAACCTCCTCTCCCTCTTCATGTATGGAGCTGTGCCTTCTATGTTAAAAAATATCTGACAAGACCTCAATTACTCTCCCTGTAATGCCTGGGCCCTGACTGCTCTCCCATCTGCAGGGAGTCCCTATTCACCAGCTGCTTCCTCGTTCCTTCCACTCCCTCTGCTGCTCTGCTGCCAAACTGCTGTGTGTTTCCCATCCTCCAGTGCTCCTGCTTTTTTCCCAGGTTCGCCCTTTGGTCAGTGTAAATAGGGCTGGGGGTTATGCAAATTGCCCCACGGCTGGTTGGAAGAGCTGCAAAAGTTCAGCCTCAAAAACAAAAGGGCCAACGAGAAACCAAGCCCTAAGTTCTGCCCACAGCACAGAATGATTGACTCCTCTCCCTGCCCAGAGGCTGTGAGATGCCTCCAGTGTCCCTGCTCCAGTGTCCCTCTGCTGCCACGTGAGGGGAGTGGGCAGGGGACTGGATTCACTTTCAGCTCTTTCCATTTCAACAGTTTAAACTTACCCTTTTCCCCTTTCTTTTCTGGATTTTTCAGCCCTTTTTGAAGAGTTGCAGAGTCTGGACATTTTCTTGGCCGAGCTGTACAAGTGAGTGTTCAAACACTTGACAATTTCCTGCTGTTTCCCCCAGCTAACAAGCAGCAAAACCTTGGGGTTGGGGTTAGAGGCACTGCTGCTGGAGCCTTGACTCAGGCCTGGGCTCTGCCCATAGACCAACCTTCCCCTCCAGACCAGCCTCCCCCCTGAGCCCCATCCCATAGCATGTGGTTCTGAAAGACTTTTCACACCATGTATTTACCTTCTCGCCTGTAACTAGGCATCTGGACAGTAGCAGCAATGAACGCCCCGACATCAGCTCCATCCAGAGACGCATTAAGGTACCAATCATCAAAATCCCTTTTCATCCTTCTGGATCCCAAAGGGCTTAACAACCCAGCCCCACTGCTCAGTCCTGAAATGCTTTGCTCTGCCTTTGGGTGGGCACAGCAGGCTTGGCAAAGCTACTTGGTCTCAGCTCACTGGTGTCACTGGTTCTCCTGAAAGGCAGCCTGGTCTGGAATAGGGTCCCTTTCCTCAAGCCCACAAGCAGCACTGGCCGAGGGTGCTCACTGCTGCAGCACGTGGCAGTGGCACACATAGGCTCACAGGGGCTGTAGCCTCCGATTCAGCCAGCCATGGGGTGCCAGCCCAGGGCAATGCTGGCCCTGAGCTTTCTGCCACCTTCCTTTCTGTTACCTGGGGCTCAGCTGTGCCCTGATGCCACAGGATACAAGCACAGAAAGCCTTGCTGGAGATCCTTGCAGGTCTCACGTAGCCCCCAGCCCTCCGGGTGCTCTGCCTCAGTGTTCTGAGGTACTGCCTGCCTGGCCCAGGATCTCACCTATCTTTTCCTCATAGAAAGTGACCCACGACATGGATATGTGCTACGGGATGATGGGGAGCCTGTTCCGCAGCGGCTCTCGGCAGACGCTGTTTGCCAGCCAGGTGATGCGCTACGCTGACCTCTATGCAGCCTCCTTCATCAACCTCCTCTACTACCCCTTCAGCTACCTCTTCAGAGCTGCCCACGTTCTGGTGAGTTCCAGTCCCAGGGAGGTGGGCAGGGGTCCCAAAGGTGCTCACACTTGTGTCCATTCTCACTTCCACAGGACACAAAAGCACCTTAGAGGGTTTGGTGGCCGTGGACTGTAGACCAAAGGGTCACATTCTGGGGTTTGGTGTCCATGTCTCTCAGGGAGGCAGCCTGGGGCTGGGGCACTCCTTGTCACCTCCTCTCTCTGTTCCATGTGCAGATGCCACACGAGTCCACAGTAGAGCACACACACGTCGACATCAATGAGAAGGAGTCGCCGATGGCCACACGCAATCGCACCTCGGTGGATTTCAAAGATTCCGACTACAAGCGGCACCAACTGACCCGTTCCATCAGTGAGATCAAACCGCCCAACCTCTTCCCCCAGGCACCTCAGGAAATCACACATTGCCACGATGAAGATGATGATGAGGAAGAGGAAGAGGAAGAAGAAGAGGAAGAAGAGGAGTAAGAAGGAAGAAACCAAGTATTTCTGAAGATAAACCATGACTCTAGCAGTGATCAGGAATGGATTCTGTTGTTGGGGCCCTTGGGGTGATGGGTTGGGGGGTGTGATTCTTGCAAAGGCACATTTTGAAAGTATTTGGAAACTTCTAACAAATTAACACTAATTAGGAGGAGACCCTTGTTTTCAGTTTTGCAGACGGTTCAAAAAGCTGATGGATTCTAACTGGGTGGTGCATTCAGATTGGACTGCCCACCTGTGCTGTCATGCTACTCCCATTACATTTTGGGATGCTGCATGTTTCTCCCTTTCCCATGATGTGTTTAATTTGGTTTTCATTTGAACAGTGTCCTGTGAACGGTTTTTGGCATTTGTTACATTCTCTGTGGAGACAGAAGGGATGTGCTGGGCCCCGCAGGAGACATAATTATCCAAATCCTGCTGCCCATTAGGTTGCTGACCTTAACCCTTTGCTCCTGGGTTACATAATCCCTCCTTCCCATGTTAGCCAGGGTGTTGCTGTGCCTTCCAGGACTCAGTTTACCTTCTGTTGGTGTGAATTTCTCTGTGTAAGTGGTTTGACTCCTCCAGCCGTCATGGATGGCAGTGAGATTCCAGCTTTTGCACATCTGCTGCCATATGCATTTCACCTTGTAGCCACTTGTTACCCTCTCCCAGAGTGTCCAAGTTCTCTCACCATTATGCGATGCATAATTTCCAGGGCATTTCTCAAACAGCTGAGCTGCACACTGTTCTCAAATCCTCCATTTGTAGCAGTAAATATTAACCCAGGAGCTTGAAGCTGCTGCTTTAGCATTACATTATTCACTCTGTGTTCCTCCTGACCTTTCTGTCCTCTCAACTTTAAGTGAAGCATCCCAAAATCAACCCCAGCCACCATCTGGAGTGAAAGGGCCTGTTGTGCCAGGGGGTGCAGGCCACATGGGCCCGCCCTAAACTAGGAGACAGCACAGCCACAGGGCCAGCCCCAGGGTGGGAGCTGGGAGCTCCCGGCCGTGCAGCAGCTGCCCTGGTCTCTGCTCTGGTGTGGAGCCAGCGGAGCCTCACTGCTGGCCGTGCTGGGCAAGGCTGTGTCCCTGGCCACAGAGGGTGACGGCTGCTGTCTGGGGACTGGGGGTGTCCCAGGGATGGGCAGGTAGTCCTGGTGCCTGAAAGCCAGCCCAGGGAAGGCACAAAGCTGGCACACAGCTGGGCAGCAGTGCCCTGTGGTTTTCCTCTGAGTCATGGGTGCAGCCTCCCTTACTCCAGCCTCTGCTGTTCGCTGCAAAGGGATTACAACGAGGGCCCTCTTGTAATTAATCTGACTGTTGTTTCAGTACCATAAACTCATTTAATTTTTTCATTTTAAAAGTACCTTAGTAGAAAATAAAAGAAGAAAAACCACACCACCAACATCTGAGCAGGAAAATGCTGCTCTAGTGGCAGTTGTTCAAGTCAATAAATGATGTTTCTAAGAAATGCCTGGTGCTGTGTGGCATGTTGCTGAGATCATGAGAGCTGTGCTGGAGTTGGTGGGAAGAGATGGGACTGGCCAGTGGGGTGCCAGCAGGGTGGGTGACTGGGGAACAGTAAGAGTATCTTTTGGGAACTGGTCATGTGAAGCACTGAGGAGCAGTGACAGTGGATCTTGCAGTAAGGGCATGCCTGGTCCTCACATTGCCCCAGGAAGCAATGGTGAGGCACGAGGCTTCTGTTACCACCATCGCATCAGCCAGGAAAGCATGGGGAGGGCAGAGAAACATTTTGTCTTGAACAGAAAGTGAGGAGGAGCTTTATCATGGTGGGAATGGGAACATCCCTACACTGCCACTACCTCCAACACTGTCTCTTGCCAGGACTGTTTCCCATAGACATTACCAAGGACCACTTCCTGCCCCTCTGCCCCTGCAAGACACATGGCCAGGGTGGCAGCAGGGCACAGCAAAGGCTGTGCTCACCAGGAGCTGCAAAGCAGCTTAAATAGACAAGAATACCCAGGGAAGGCCAGTGCTGCCACACAAGGCTGTGCCTGGCTAAGACAGGCAGCCTTGGGCACTGCTGAGCTCAGCCCTCCCCTACAAACCAACTCCTTCCTCATGCCAACCAAACCAAAGGAGGTTCCCCCATCAGCACCATCACAGAAGGATATTCAATACCGGGCCCAAGATGCCAGACAGAAAATACTAAATGGCAACAGCTGGTGGCCAACACTCAGCACCTGACACTTAAGGGATTGCTGAAAACGTCAAAGCACTGAGTCCCTGATACCTCAGTTTTGGGGTCTGGAGAGGAGCTAACACGTACCCACAGTGAAGCTAGCTGCAGGAGGGGTTCCAGGGAGCTGTTCCCGAGCTCTTTTACCAAAGGCCATGCTGGGCTCTGTTATGTTTAAACTTTGTTTCTCCAAGTATAGCTACTTGAATTTTTTAAGCTTTAGCTCAGCAGCCGGGGGAGGCATGCGGCTGCAGAAAGGGAGGTCTGGGGAGCTCCACGCATTCCTCCTTCCCAATCAGTCACCACAAATAGCTCACTCCCAGCCCAGGGCTATTTCTGACTGAGATGGGGAGAAGAGTCTTCAAGGCTGGAGCAATGGAAAGTATTTGACCCTCACTTCGTGGTGGGAAAATACCAGGCAAAGCCTGACGGATGCACAGGCACTGCCTGGCCTTGTACCATCCTCTCCATCTCATGCTGGCTCCACCATGAAGCTGTGGTAACCATGGACCAAGAGCCAGGGTGAAGCTTCTTGCCCTGGCTGGCACTGGGGACATGGCCACAGCCCAGGTTTCCAGCCCAACCCTCAGGCAGCTGCCCGTGGCTGATCTGCACCAGCTGCCACTTTCCAGAAGCTGGTGGCCTGGCAGTACCTGTGTCTCCAATCAACCTGCAGAGCCTCAGGGAAAGCTCCTCTGCTCTCTCTGCAACCTGTGCCCCAACCCAGACACAGACATGCTTTGCTTTTGCCCACCAGCAATATTGTCTCCTACAGAAAAAGCCTGGTGGAAGCAAGGTGAGCATGGGGGGAACAGGCTCCAGCCCCTGTCCCGAGCTCTCACTGACCTGATTTCTGGTTTCTCCCGCTTTCCCCACCACCTCACATCCACCTCCCCTGCTCTGTGGAGCCAGAGGGGGCTCACAGGGGCTGCACAAACCAAACCCTACCAGAGACAGGAGCCCAGGGCTCATTGCCCTTCGCCACAGCCCTGCAGACATCGTGTGTTGGGCACTGCCACTTCTGACCAGGTGGCAGTCATCAGAGCTGCTCCCAGCTCCTCCTTTGTGCCACCTCCTCACTCAGCAGAGCAAGGCCCAGCTGCACTCTGTACCAGGATATGCCTGACCATGATGGAGGGTGCAAAGCCCTGTGCCAGTCCCTGAGCAGCAGCCATTCCAACCTCCGGCCTGAAGCCCCAGCATGACAAACATGGATAAAGAAATTCTGTAACTGCAGAGCCATTGGTCTACCTTGGCCCTTCACAAGGGTCCTTTCCCTCCAGGAGACCAGCCCTGTGGGCCACTAGGCTGCAGAGCCTGGCCATGACAGGAGGCACTGCTGGAGCCTTGAGGACACAGAGCCCTGGGTACAGCTTTGGGCACTGCTCCTGCCCTGCTTCCACAGCAGCCTGGACCTAGCAGCCAAAACCCATCCCACCTTCCTGAAGGAACCTGGCCTCTTACACCCTCCTTTCCAGAAGTCCTGGGCCCTCTCTCTATCCTGCTCCTCCTTCCTGCTGTTCATGACCACCAGAGCCAGCCCTGAAGTTGGCCTTCACATTAATTCTACTTCCATTGTGCTTGTAGCATCCCACCACCCTCCACTGGCTGCCAGGGACAGGCACACACAAGGGAGCAGGAGTCCTCAAGGACCTGCCACTCTCTCTGTCCTGCTGATACATCATGGTCCAGAGGGATGGGGCTATCCTGCAGCACAGAAGCAGGCACAGAGGTTGCACTGGGTGCAGCAAAAATCCCCACAAGGCTTGAGCAGCTGCTGCCCATCTTGCTAACCGAGGGTCTGGCTGCTCAAGAGCTCAGCATGAAGAAAGCTGGGTGCAAGGAGAGCAGCCAGGTGGAACAGCTGTGAAGAGGGGAGGGGCTGAGGGATGGGAAGCACAGTATGGGCACATGGCAGGGCTGTATCTGACACTCAGGAAAGGGGCTGTTTCTCCACCAGTGTGAGCTGGAAGTGATGGTGGGCATGGGACTAAGCACAGGCTGGTTCTCCTGCTCAGAAATGTCTCTGTTGCTGCAGGCTCCACTGCCAAAACCCCAGCATGAGGGGAGAAGGCAGGGAACCCAAGTGCAGGGGGATGGACCAACTCACTCCACCAAACTTCTCCCCACGGAGGCGCCGGCATCCCCAGCCACATCCCTCACTGGAGCCCCCAGCCAGGCCCGGCGGCGTCTGCGCCTAGAGACAAACGACCTACGGAGAGCAGGTTGTAAATAACGCCTTTTTATTACTGAAACAAAAAGACCCTCACCCTTGAGGAACTTCAAAAAGTCAGCTGCTTGCCATTGCCACCAGCTTCCCAGCCAGCCCCTGATCAGCAAAGCCACCAGCACAGCCCTCCCCAGAGTGAGGATTTACAGGCCCAGACCCACCAAAGCGAAGAGCAACACCTGCCTCAAAAGGAACAAGATCCGGCCTCTCTGTGGCTCTTGGCAGCTGAAGTGGAGATTAAAGACTTAAATGTGCCAGTAGGAGACATCTGGGCACAGGATCACAAACATCAGCCCCACCACCCACATGCCAAAATCTGTCCCTTGGAAATGAGGGGGAAGCATAGAGGAGGGAAAAATGCATAAACTGGAATGTTCAACAGAAAAAAAAAAAAATCATCATTTATCTAAAAAGAACAGAAATAAACAAAATGCTTTAAAACAAAATCACAAAATATACAAATAAATCTGGTACAAAATAAATAGGAAAGATTGGAAATCTACAACAAAATTGGAATAATTATAAAATTAATTTGTATGACAATCAGTATATGAAACGTATACACTTCATTCAGGATTTCAGTTGTGCTTATTCAGGTTTATGTACACACACAGAAATACTGTAGTCAGAATACTACAACTCTGGAAACCCGAAGTCATGTACAATATGATACAATTTGCAAAGACCACATATGATGGCAAATAAGACACAGGGAAGAGCTGGCTGGAGTGGGATCAGACAGCCATGAAAATGCACTGCAAAGGGAGAGCCACCATGCTCTGGAATGGGGGGACCAAGGCCGAGCCAGCAGCAGCCAGGACAGGGCTTAGGGCAGCCAGGAAGGAGAAAGGTTTGGTGTGAGACCTCTGGCTGCTGAGCACCAGCTGCTCATGGCTTCCAGGAACACATCTCAAGTATTTGGGGTTGCAGAGTCACTGTGTTTGGCATCCAGGCACCTGCCCAGTGATTCAGGTGTCAAGACTGGCTCTGCTGGAGAAAAAAACATGCCAAGAGCTCTGAAGTCCCTCAGCAGGGCCTGACCCTGAACTACTGGTAAGCCACCCTTGTGCTCAGGAGAACGTGGATCAAATGGGACCACAGCACTGCTGCTGGGGTCCTGGTAGGATTCAACTCTCCAAATTCCATGTGATCTCCGAGGAAGGCAGAGTCCTTTGAGCAGCATCTCCTACTCTCAGTGTGAGAAATGAAGACAGAATGGCTGCAGCATGGCCCGTTCCTGACTGCTGCTCCTCCTTCTCACCTTTCTGAACACTCAGTTAAAGCCCAGCAAGTGAAGCAGAGGAGCAGCTGTGGCTGATGTGAACACAGCTGTCACAGCAGCCACACTGCTGAATCCAAGCCAGCACAATGCAGATAGACAGAGCACGTACCCTGGGTGACAACCCGCCAGCCCAGCCAGCTGGACCTGAGACTAAAGCAGGAATAACTCTAGAGCTGATCTAGGCCTAGCCAGTTTGTCACTTCTGAGCAGAGGAGCTCATCAGGAACCCCTCACTCTCGCACAGTGATCTCTGGGACATGCATTCCATATTGGCACTTCCAACTAAAAGGCATCTGACACCAACTAGTTTTTCGGTTGTATTTGGAACCATTTGGTTCAACAGTGATGCCCAGAGGACAAAACACCACCTTCTATTATAAAGCTCTGTGATCAGCAAACAGTTGAGAAGGGATGCTAGACTGCTACACCAAGCATCGAATGCTGGGACAAGCCCTTCTTCCCCAATAAATCCTGCTACCAACCAACTGCCACGCTGCTTTTTAGAGGAGAAGACAACAAAGAAATCAAATCCACTCCTGGAGCATTGGAGCCACCTGCAGCCTTTGCATGTTTCAGGCTCACAACAGCTGACAAACCTCTAGCCTGGTTCCATGACAGACCATTCTACCAAGTCCAGCCAAACCTCTGCTCCTGGGGCAGGATCAAACACCAAGCACTTCCTTGGCCAGAAATCTGCACTAAAGGAGCAAAAGCAGCCAGGGCACCATCTGCTGCAGGATCCTAGTGATCAGC